TTAGGTGAACTGGCATTAAAATGTACGCACAGATCAAGCTGGCTGAGTGAGACACTGCTCTCCATTCCCTGGGAATCTTCCTTTTTAATGCTAATTCGGACTAATACAGTTACCTGTCAGGAGTTATCTTCATAGCCAACACCAGCGATTTCTGTTCATATGGTAGTCAGAACCAGGAGCTGCCTCCTTTGTAGCCTGCCTAGTGAATCTTGTACCTCACCTATATACAGGATCAGACCCATTTCTCCAGGTTAACTGATCCAGAATTAATATCACTGATGGTTCCACACACTAAGATGCTACAGACTTTACGGCAAACCCCAAATAGTAAAAGTTTTTTTAAATTAGCATTTATTTACAATCACTAGTTGACTGATTAATTTGCTCACTGATTATTAACATGGGTGGTTGTCCAGTGGTAAGTACCTGTAACAGGTCTGTGGTGGAGGAAAGTAGGACTCAGGCTATGAGAACGTACTTGTGTGAAACACTGTCAATTGCACTGTATTATAATTTTTTTTAATTTAAAAGTATCCTGACAAACAGGATCAAACTGCTCCCAAACAGCTGAACATCTCAATGGAAAACTGGTTCCTTTCTTGTGATTGGTGATCAGAACCTGAGCCATAACAGCAAGTATTTGAACATCCCTAAATCCATATTCATGATCTAATTGTTACAACAATTGGGCCAAAGTGCAGGAGACAAAAATCTATCCTTCTCAGCAAAAACTCTGCATCACTAATAAGGAAATGGCAGAAATAGTTATTGATGAGGGAACCTTTGTGACAATATTTAATACCTGCTTCCCAGGTAGTAAGCCTTACAACAGTAAGGTAGGCCAGTAGTATAATCCCTATTTTATAGGTGGGAAGACTAAGGCAATAAGTGGCATTCCCAAACCCCATAATGAACCAGGGCTGAAATGAGATTTGAACCACATTTGGATCACAGCTCTCACTGAAGGTTCTAAAGAGCCAAATCAAGATTATGAAAACACTGGTACCATCCTATGCATGTTTTACTCAGAAGTACCATTTTATTCAATAGGACTTATGTAATTGTTATGTATGTGGACCGCCACCAAGGGTCCGCGGCACATGCAGGAGCTTGGCTCCTGGAACAAAGGAAACTTTGGATCCTGGTTTTCCCCAGCCCCAACCAATAGCCACTTGGCGGGACATTCAAACCCTCCAATGGGAATGGGGGGTGCTGGGTGGATATGTATATAGTTGGCCCTGTCGGGCCGTTAGAGTTAGTCTTGTGTTAAGTACAATAAACCTGTGCAACCGCATGTCGTTGTCCGAGTCCTACATGCAGTGAACCCAGTAATTTTCAGTAATGACTAGGCGGGAAGCCCGTTGTAGGGAGAAGACAACAAGCGCTAGAAAGACAAGGGGCCTCCGTCCCACACTTTCTCCCCCCTCCACAGACCCCGGAGTTGGTGGGTGGCAACTGGCTTCCTGTGTGGCCGTGGCCAGAGGCCTCCGGGTCGCCTCGACGGCCGTCCACCCCATCAACATGCCAGCCCCCTTCCACGCGCAGGCTGTCCATCAGAGGAAAGCGAGGCCCATCCCCCCCTCACCCTCCGCCCTCCCCTGCTGCATCCAGCGGCCTCCGGGATGCCACAACAGCTCTTTGCCCCAGCAGTGCACCAGCCCGTCCGCTTGCAGGCTGGCCACTGAGTCAGCCGAGGGTGACGACGACCAGTGCAGGGGTGGGAGGAAGGGGCTCAGCCAAGCATCCAGCCACCGGACCGCACATTCTGTCTGGCAGCTCTGTTCATACTGAGGGCAAGCTGGTGGCCAGGGCTTCTGTGGCACTCCGCAACGCAACCAGCCAATGCAGGCAGTGTCTTTGGAATGGCAGTTCAGGCGGCCAACTGATTTTGGCGTGAACAGAACTTTGCCACCCCAAATTGCTTTTATTAATAAGGAGAGATTTTTTACTGTGTGTGTGTTCCTTTAAACATTTGGTTGGAGTGCAGTGTTAGTAGAGTGATTGAAGGAGACATGTGTGATGTGATTGGAGGATGACAGAGTGGGAGTTGTTTGAAGTGAATCTGTGTGTGTCTTGAAGTCAGTTTTGAGTGAATCTGAGTTATAGAGAGGTCAGAGAAATCAGTTGGAGTTATTCAGTTAGTGAGTGATATTCTGTGTGTAAACTTAAAGAGTTCAAAATATAAGGCTTTAAGAGTTTAAATGTGAAGGAGCTATTAGAAGGGTCTGTGAGGCTCTAAAGAAAGAGAACCAATTTACAAAGAGCTAAACCAGTGACTGCCTATGTGAGAGATTCCTGTCAGAGTGGGATCTTAAGGTCAAAAGACTGTTTGTGATACCTTGCCAGTTTATTTACCAGTTCCTTTCCCCCAATACAGTTACAGTTAACCAGCAACTTATTTTTTGTTCCTTAATCAATAAATCATATTTTGTTTAAATTTAACCCAGAATTCAGTTCAATCCTTCCTCAGGGCCACATAGAACTTTGAAAGCCCAGACCCTGGATCACATTACCAGCAGCAGAAACAGAGAGAAGATATGGAATTTCTTAAAATTCCTGGTGGCAGCAGAAACTACCCAGTTTATAAACACAGAGTATAATTTTAAAGTGGAAAGAGTCCCCCCAAATAAGCAGTGCGCCACAGCTTACTTCCAAGGAAGTACTTTTAGGATTACATTCTATGTCTATGAAGCTGAATAATCTACAGTGCGATTCTAAGCAGAGTTAAATCCTTCTAAATTCAATGAAGGCCACTGGCGTGGAAGGATGTCACTGTTCTTAGAACCACACTGCAACATAACTCTTATGGCCTTACCATATGATTTTAGAACTGTGCTCTACAGAGGCTGATTCACAGTTGTTTTCTAAAACCACTAGTGTGGCTTTGGAAGCACCTCCACATACAGACCTGTTTGTAATGAACTATTCCACACTTCCAAACCAAAAGGATGCCAGATCCACACTGCGAAAGAGCAGCAAGCAAGCTTTGAGAATTGCACAGAATTTTTCCAGGGCACCTTCTCCGTTTCCAGCACTGCCACAGCAGGAGAATCTCTGCTCAGCAGAGTTCTCCCTTCCACACCATTTTTAAAGATACAAGACATTGTTTCTCAGGGTCTTGGAGCACAAGATGCCACCTGCTTCCTGGCATCTTGTTCCACTGTCAGTCAACAAAGGCGGGTCTGTAGGTTGCTGTGGCATGCCATTTTCAGGTGTAGTCTCTCCTCCTCAGTAGAGAATCTGGCACACTTCCACCTTCTCCTTCATAAAGTACAGGCAACCCTCGCCCATTCTATATGGATAAATAATTTCACTCTAATAGCTGCAAATTGAAGGCAGTGTCCCTTTAAGGGAAGATACCAACAGCCCTCCATCCTCTGGGGTGAGCAAGATTTTATCATAGGACTGCAACCTTTATGTGCCTGCAGCAGCCAGAGAAACATGTCCTCATACCATGGGGTAACAAAAGGTGTCCCTGGCCTGTCTTGCAAAGGGATAGGATGCTGTTCTTAGGGAAAGCTGATTTCCTCCCCTTCTTTCTTAAAGGAGGTTTCAATTAAGAGGATTCCATTTTCTTTAAAAAAAAAAAAAAAAAGACTGGCAACCTTCTAATTGCAGAAGAGGAGAAACCCAATATGAGAAACGCGCACCAATCCAGCGGGGAGAGCCGGACCTCTGGGTGACAGCCGCGGTAGGTCTTCTGCAGAGGGCGACACGAGTAAGCAGATGGGCCCGAGCACCTCTCGCTGGGTGGGTTGGTGAATGATGCGCGCAGACAGGCTCCCAGCCGCCCTCTTTGCACAAGCGACGGGCATTTCTGGGCCATCGCCGGTGGGAGACGCCTTCCCGCCCCGCCCCGATGCTGTTTTTTTGTTTTGTTTGTTTAGGGAGAGGGGCTTTGCTAAGGCGTATCGGCACTTCTCTGCACGGGGTCCCTCTCTGCATTCAGCCCCTTCCCGCATCATCTCCCTTTGCAGCCCACTGCAAACGCTGCTGTCATGCGTGTGCAAATCCAGCGCCAGAGCCGCCGCCGCCGCCTGCATCGCTTGATACCCCGTTAAAAAAAATAAATTAAAAAATCGTTATCGTCACAGGAATTTACGATCCTCACTGGAAAACAACCCCTCCTTCAGAAAAATAGCTTCAACTATAACAATAATAATAAACTACCCCCCATCGTAGCAACTCGCGACCCCTAATGCATTAAAATTACGAGCAATAAATAGTAATAATTAATAATAAATCATAGCAACCTCCTGGCAAAAGAGAGCCACAAGAAATAATACTGTAAATTAATAATAATAGCATTTCGAGATCACTGCAAAAACACAAGCCATTGTAAGTATAATAATAAATTAATTATTATAATCGCAACTCGCGTTCCTCCACTGCAAAAAAAGAGAGAAAGACAGTAACAAGGAGAAGAAAAGTCACAAGAAATAATCTTCAAAAAGATTAAACCACAGCCACTTCAGCAGCTCAGTCCACGCAAAACGCACCTAACGGTGCACAAGAACTCGCTGCCGCTTGCTCGCGTCTCACTGCACGCCGAAAGAGAAAGAGCGAAGAGGAGACACAAACACAGCCAATGAGAACGCCCGCTACGTTACGAAAGGGAACCAATCAGATTTGGGGGGGAGGATCTGCCAAGGAGTGCTCTCTTGCGCGTGCGCGTCCGCTGCCTGAGAAGGGGGTGTGTCGGCGCACCGGGAGAGCGAGAAGTCAGTGGGGGGAGGGGGGGCAGGGAGCCTGATAATGGCGGCCAGGAGGAGAGAACGCAGCGGCGGCGACTCTGAGGTAAAATAGTTATAGCGGCCATGGTGCAGCTGAGGCCTTGTGCTCGGAGGCCGAGCGGGGCCTGAAGGTGCCTCCTTGACAGGCCGGCGGGGAAACGGTGATGGCTGTGAGGCCTGGCCTACCTGAGGAAAAAGCCGCAGCGAGAGGCCTGGTGCTGGGCCGCCCGCCCTCGAGGAGGCCAGGCCTGGCTCGACCCTTCTCCCTGAGGTCTGGAAAGACGCTCGCGTGTGTACGGCGGGTGACACGGGACATCTCGGCAAACCCAGGTTCGGCCCCTGACTGTTCGCTGGGACCAGTTAGGGTCGCTCTTCTGCAGGGGTCTTTCCGCGGTGTTGTGACGTAGATGGCAAATGTTTGAGCTTCGCGTCCTGCAAGAGCTTCACCTGCGGATCATTGAGAAGAGGGTGGTTTTCTTACAAAAAGCTTTTCTGAGCAGCCCTATCAGCAAGGCCCCGAAGTCGACCCTGGTTCCCTAACGTGATGATGAGTGTGTCTTGCAAAACATGTGTTTGTAGTATTCACGTCCATCCTGCCCAATGAAAGACTAGAGTGGCGGAATGGCAGCTCAAGTCTGTGCATGTTTACTCAGGTATAAATCCCACTGTACTCATTAGGGATTGCTTCCAAGTAAGTGTGTGTGTGCATGGGCCTGCAGTCTTAAGTTGCTGTAGAGGCAGGCATCAGTGACAGCTTTGTGTACCTTCCAACTTTTGCAAGAGAAGACTGGCCTTCTGGTATAATACATTGTATAATATAATTTCTTGATGTTGCCTGGGGGGCTCCCAAAGATCTGTTGTCTACAGAGGGCTGAAATATTTAGCTTCAACACTGCTGCAGCATCAGGTACACTCAGAGAATTCACTGGACCTGAGTTCCTATTCTTGTAGGAGGGTGGGTCACAGAAGGCGTGTATGCTGATGTTTCCTTTTTTCATGGCTGGACCTGACCCACACTTCTTGATGTATGACTGTATTTAGCGTTCCTTGCAGAACGTTTTTGGAAAATACACATTTTCATAGGACCTAGAAAATACATGCAGCCCCTCCACACACATACACACAATACAGTCACTGCTGCTAGAATGGGCAAAGAATATCAATTGGCAAGAGTGGGGGAGCAGCTGAGGGCACATTGTGTTGGGTAAGGGGAGAGAGAAGGCAAGGGAGAGCTTTTTTGGGGAGATGTGTATCTATACATACTTGCACTGGCCTGTTCCTCAGTACATCACATCTCCTGGTGCTCAACTTGCCCAAGTCTGAGATGAGTGCAATTCTAATGCTTGTTCCTCCTCTTCCCATCATAGAACAAAATTTTAGTCAAATAAAACCTTTAGTCAAATAGAACCTTAAAAATCAACAAATTTTTCCATGGTTAAAGCTCTCTTTGTCAGATACAAATATTGTTCTGCTACTGTAGACTAACATGGCTGCCCACACCTGAAACGCTCTGTCATATGACTGTGATGTTGCAGGGCTGTGATGTCACATGACTTCCCTATCATGTGCTTGCAGCTTGATGGGTCCCATGCTGCTGCCTGGGGGTTGAAGGTAGGTCCTGTATCCACTGCTGTAGGGCTCTTTGTAGCAGGAACTCCTCTGCATATCAGGCGACTCACCCCTAATGTAGCCAATCCTCTGAGAGCTTACAGAGGTCTTCTTACAAGAAGCTACTGTGAGCTCTTGGAGGATTGGCTACATTAGGGGTGTGTCGCCTAATATGCAAAGGAGTTCCTGCTACAAACAGAGCCCTTTCCCTCTTCTTCATTATAAGCCATGTGTATTTGTATTACTATATGGGCAACAGCTGCCATTGCTAGATACAGCATTGCACACTAGTGTTAGATGGCAAAATTGGGAAGAGAGGTGAACGATGGTGGAAGCATGTTTAGATCCGTTTCACTCTGGTTTCAGGCCTGGTCATGGGACTGAAACAACCTTGGTTGCTCTGGTGGGTGGCCTACACCAGGAGATGAACACAGGGAATCTGACCCTGTTAATTTTTCTGGACCTCTTAGCCGTTTTTGATACCATCAATCATCATATGCTTCTGGGTTGTCTTTCAGGGTTGGGACTGGGAGCTACTGCTCTATGGTGGCTTTTGTCCCTCCTTGAAGGCAGGTTTCAGAGTGTGGTGCTGGGGTACTGCTGCTCTGTCCCTTGGCAGCTGGCCTGTGGGGTCCTACAAAGTTCCATCTTGTCCCCCATGCTTTTCAACATCTATGTAAAGTTGCTGGGAGATGTCATCTAGATATCTGGACTGAGTTGCCACCAATATGTCGATGACATTCAGTTCTAGCTCATGCTTCCAGCAGATCCCAGGGAGACCGTGGAACAGGTCCCTAGAGGCAGTTTTGGGAGGGATGAGGGCTAGTAAGCTGGAACTTAATACTGACAAACAGAAGTGCTACTGGTGAGGGAACGCTTGACCTAGGAATTGGGGTTTCTCCTGTTATGGATGAGGTTCCATTCCCCCTAAAGGTGCAGGCTCGTAGCTTTGGAGATGCTACTGGACCCAGTTCTCCTGTTGGATAAGCAAATGGCAGTGGTGGCTTGGAGTGCCTTCCACCTGCTTCAGCTGGTGTGCCAGCTGTGGCCCTTCTGGGCAAGAAAGATCTAGCCACTGTGGTGCATGCCCTGGTAACATCTAAATTAGATTCTGCAGTGTGTTCTGCATTGGGCTGCCCTTGAAGGCTGTCCAGAAGGTAGAATTCATACAGAATGCTGCAGCCAGAATGTTGACTGGAGTGGGTCATAGGAACTGTTCCACTCCATTCTTGTTCCATCTACGCTAGTTCCTAGTTAGCTTCTGGACTCAAATCAATGTATTGACCTTCTCCTTTATGAACCTATCCATCGACTCTGGTCATCTTCAGAGGCCTTGTTTTGCATGCCCCTGTCATCTAAGATTAGATAGGTGGCAACCTGGGAGAGGGCCTTCTCAGTTGTAACACCAAAACTTTGGAACTACCTTCTAGGGAGGTCAGTGTCTCCCTCTATCATTGTCTTCTGCCACTGGGTGAAGACTTTTTTGTTTTGTTTGGGGTACTCCCAGAAACTTTATTGGTCCTTCTTCCGAAGTCAAGTTATATGTCTTATGTTTTTATTGAGTTGTTTAAATATATCTCTTATTTTAGATGTTGTGTTTTAGTGATTTGATATTTGTCGTGTTGGGGATCCTGTTTGAGTGGAAAGGTGGCACAAAAATGTTTAAAATAAGTATCCACAGAAAAACTGAAGGGGTTTTAATCTTTTACAAGATGCAAATCAATCACAAGTTTCTTCATTTTTTGTACTCTTTTTTTCCTTCTAGACACCTTGACCTTGAAGATGGTGAGTAGCCAGCCAAAATACGACCTAATACGGGAGGTTGGCCGTGGCAGCTATGGTGTGGTATATGAAGCAGTGGTGAGAAAAACCTCGGCACGTGTTGCAGTGAAAAAGATTCGTTGCCATGCTCCAGAGAATGTAGAGCTAGCCCTCCGTGAGTTCTGGGCACTTAGCAGCATCAAGAGCCAACACCCAAACATAATCCACCTGGAGGAATGCATCTTGCAAAAAGATGGTATGGTGCAGAAGATGTCCCATGGGTCCAGCTCTTCACTTTATTTACAGGTAAAGGAGGCTGCAGGTAATGGAGGACAGGTTGGAAGCTATTTACTTACAGAGTAGGGGAAAAGGAGACTGGCAAGGGTTATGATACCACCTAGTATTAGGTTTTTGAAAGCACTATTTGCTTCTTGTATTCTATGGCTGTAGCCACTCTCACAGGCTGAACAGAAGTCACACAGTTAAGCAGTTTAAAATTTAAGGGAAAATACATAAAGCAATAGTAATATGGATGTCTAATCTTAGCGAAGTCATCGTGGCAGGCAGAAGTAGAAGTCTGTAAATATAACTCACTTTAAATTATTTTTCTAAACATTATCTGTGCTTGAAAGAGGAACTGGGTATAAGAAGCCACTACTGGAAATTCTGCTGCTCCTCAGAAGCAATAGGTCTTCCCACATCATTGAGTGGGTACTTGGAATCAGGGGTCATTTCGTAGAAAAAGAGCTAGGGGGACTCATTAGCATAACTCATTAGCATATGCCACACCCCCTGACATCACCGGAAGTGTGTCCTCCCCACAGCCGGCGGCGACCTCCAGCGGGCACCAGCAGGGAGCTCCAGGCCCCGCCCTCCCGCACCTCACCCGGGGGGATGGCGTCCCCCCGCGTCCCCCCCCCCAAATGACCCCTGCTTAGAATGGGGATTACAACTGTTGCACTGTCACAGCATTGCAAAACATCATTTTGGCAAGACAGTAACATCAGTGGCATTGTATGGAGAGGTATTTGCAGAATCATTCACAGAAAAGATGCACCGTAATCCTTTCTGTTATAATTTGACATTAAAATTTTGAGTTTATGTAAATAGCATTAAAGCTGCTGCTCAACAATCTCCATTTCACTCATCAATGAAGAATAGCTAGTAAACTGTGAGCACGTCAAAATAACGATGAGAACAAAAGCAAGAGCTCCTGATTTTCTGCAGCTGTGTGTTTTGTTTGTTCTGTTCAGGCAACCTGACAGCATTCACCCATGTAGGTGGGTAGTATGTGCAGTTTCATTAGATATGACTTCATCAGCAGAGGTTAAATGAACTCTTGGCAGCCTATTAATTGTGCTTTCTCCAACTGAGGCCGTTGGAGAGAGGAGAGGCAGCAGACAGGCAACCTTTCATTGTGCTTCAACCCTCCTCTTATTTTGAACCCTTCTGCGAACTCCTAGCTTGGGATGCTGGTTTTATAGGGAAGTGAGCTAACCGTAGTGTGTTGCTTGGATGTGATAACAAACTGTGGACTGTGGCAGCAATTAAATTAGAGGAGAGGTAAATTTCCCCCATATGTATTCACATAACAACAGGGAGGGTTGTTGTTACATCTGAACTTGATCAGTTTGGTCAGTTCAGATAATCACACGAAACTATAGTTAAGCTTCTTTAATCATGTGATGTCTGAACTGAGCTTCAGTGTTATTTTGTAAGTGAACTGCAGTTTGTTGTGTCTGAAGTATGGTCTAGTTTGCATTTGGGTAGCAACTCAAAACATGTTTGAAGTAGATGTGGTGTTCTGCCTGAACTGACAAGACTTGCCTGGTCTCCAGAGTCCCCCAGGCCATAGAAATGGGGCTGCGGAGCAGATGGGAAATGAAAACTAATAAACTGGTGTGAATCCTGGTTTGTATGTTTACAAGTTGAAGTGATGGTTTAAGTTAGTGTTAGCAGAAACTCTTGTCTTGGTGTGATGTCGGGAAGTTGCTGGCTGAGTGGGTGAAATGCAGTGCTGCTGCAGGTGCCTGCTGCCCATGCCTCTTTTGAAAATACTGCTGACCATACTCTTAAAGAGGAAAATTAGGAGGAAGGACAAAATAGTATTATAAAAAGATGTCCATTAAAACACAGGATTCTCAGCATTCTCCTTAGTCAAAGTTGATTTCTTGAATCATGCTTTTTAAACAGTTACATGAAATGTCTTCTCATATTATAGCTTGTAGAGACCTCCTTGAAAGGTGAAATTGCCTTTGATCCCAGAAGCGCCTACTACCTTTGGTTTGTGATGGATTTCTGTGACGGAGGTGATATGAATGAATACCTCCTGTCCCGAAAGCCCAGCCGCAAGACCAACACCAGCTTTATGCTTCAGCTCAGCAGTGCCCTGGCTTTCCTGCACAAAAACCAGATCATTCACCGTGACCTGAAGCCTGACAACATCTTGATCTCTCAAAGCAGGATGGATGCCAGTGACTTGGAACCTACCTTGAAAGTAGCTGATTTTGGGCTAAGTAAGGTTTGTTCAGCTTCAGGACAAAACCCCGAAGAGCCTGTGAACGTAAATAAATGTTTTCTTTCTACAGCTTGTGGCACAGACTTCTACATGGCCCCCGAAGTTTGGGAAGGTCACTACACTGCCAAAGCAGACATCTTTGCTTTGGGGATTATAATCTGGGCGATGCTGGAAAGGATCACTTTCATAGACACGGAAACAAAGAAAGAATTGTTGGGGAGTTATGTGAGGCAAGGGACTGAAATTGTTCCTGTTGGAGAAGCGTTGCTAGAAAATCCGAAAATGGAACTGCTCATTCCTGTAAAGAAAAAGACTATGAATGCTCGTATGAAACAGCTGATTAAGGAAATGCTTGCCGCTAATCCACAAGACCGTCCAGATGCTTTTGAATTAGAACTCCGGTTAGTCAAAATTGCTTTCAAAGACAGCAGTTGGGACACGTGACCTCTGGAGTCCGTTTGGAGTACTTTGACCTCCTCGCAGAGTTGGATCTGTAAGAATGGTGCGACTTTTTCTGGGGGGAAATCTAGACCAACCTAAATTCAAGCTGTCAGGGTTCAGTGTATTTATTATCCATTGCATTTCTGTTGTTTAGTTGGGGGGAGGGTGTAACTAAGCTTGACTAAGAGGCTATTCTTGTTTTTTCATCCATACATGTATATTTCCAGTTTGGATATTTCCAAGGTACAAGTGTAATATTATCCAGTTGGTAAGGAAAATTGACAAGTTAGGAGATTGCTTTCTAGGAATACATTATGGAGTATTTCAAACATTCCAGTTTCTTATTATAGAATTTGGAACACCCGTGGAAGAAATGATTTGCATGCTGGTAATGCAAAACATTTGACTTTGTAGAGTAAAAAATTGTATATATTTATGTCAATGTGATTGTGTGTGCCCCCCCCCAGCCCATTCCAAGTGGAGAAAATATGTCCATTTTTTATATTACCTGATTTGGTTGGCTGTGGCTCATCCATAAATCATAAATATTTATCTCTGCTGTTTTTCTTGAAAGAAAAATGTGATGATTCAATTCATGCCAACTGCGGTATAAAAGGGCCTCTAACTCAGTTTCTTAGCTTCGAAGGCTTCCACAGATAGTCTGACAGCACATTCCAGTAGTCACGTCCCAGCATCTTAGTTAGGTCATTAAGCAGTCCTTCATTTTCTGATGATAGTAGGTTATTTTTAGGCCACAACTTCTGTGCAAAACTGTCCTTCAACATAACATTCAGTAGCAGTTTGACTTCCGAATGAGTTTTCATTCATTTTTGAAAATCTAAATCATGAGAAAGAAGAAGAATTGCCTCCTGGTCTTCAGTAAAATCCTTGCAGTTATGAAAATTTCCCATATGCTGTTTCTTGCCCTGATGCTAATCTCATTTGTTACTGCCCCTCCTTTTAGCAGAATTTCTTCCACTAGCTTTTTAGTGGTGGCTTTCTGTCAAGCATAGGAAGGAAAAGCTTAGTGGTGGTTTTCTGTAAGGCATAGGAAGGAACAGAACCCTGAACATTTAGTTCATCAGTGAATTATCAACATTCAGCTGATTTTTTAATTGGTTAGAAAACATTGCCATCTTGGGGATTGTTTATTTGCACAAAGTAAGTGTCCTTTTTTGTCCTGATGTGGAGCTGTTCATGTTTTCTTTTCCTTTTTCAAGATGTTAGGTGGTAGAAACAAAAAGCCTGGCACAGTCCTGCTTGCCTTGTGTGTGGAAAGCAAGGTACGGAGCAATTCCACAAGAGGCCAGTACAAGGCATGTTCCCCCCCCCCCCAGCTATCTTGGTTACTAGGCTACTGCTTCTGTTTATATGGCACCATCAGGATTGGGGTGTTCAATCATAGATTGAGGCATTCGCACTCCTGCACCTTACTTTGAAGCATTCAGTGAGCTGTTTTGCCCCCCCCCCCCCATGCTGTCTTACAGGCTACTCTTCACAGAAGTACTTTTTACACTCTGCTTTCCAAGTGCAGGATAAGCAGGGCTTTTGCTCTTTTTTTTAAGTGCAGGGCTTGATAAAACAGGAATACAAATGCTGATTCATGACTAGATAGGTAACTTCCATGGACATGAGTGGCATAGAATTTTTATTCATTATGTAACTGAAAACTACTTATTGACTGAGTTGACATAGCTTCAGAGTTTTATATTGGGATTACAGGCCACAGAAAGGAGACGAGACAGCCAAACTGACCTTTTGTGCACACATTTCCCCCTCTTAAAATGCACTTGATCTATGTATACTTTGATATCCTTTTTCCAGCATGGCTTGAATCTGAAGGATAAAACATGTAAATGTGGGTTAATTGCTAAGGTATATCCCCATCAAGCAGGCTGCCTTTAAAATTATTTCCCTGTCTCGAAATATACCCATTTGCTCAAAATGAAAGTTTTTGATCTTAACTGTTTGCTTGAAACCCTCAGGGGATGAAAATCTTGCCTAAGAATATATTTCAGGAAATGTCTCATTGTTGACCTGGGATGTTGCAAATATATACTTGGACTGAATTTTAGCTGGTTTAAGTCAATATACTTCCCCCACCCCACCCCGCAGTGCTGCTAACAGTGGTCATTAGCTTAACTTCTGTGCAGTTACAATGTAAATGTTCAGAGGCCATAAACACTTCTTTACCACCTGTGCCTTTAGAGAAGAGGCTATGTTGCAAGTAGAAAGACACTCCTGTGGACTTTTTGTGTTAGTTACCCTGTCATCCATTAACTGAATGTTTTCTTAAGATTTGGGTCATGCAAAAAAGTATTGGAATTTGGCCACTGAGGACTGGAGAAAGCAGGAATTCCTTGTGGTGGGTCTGAACTAGTCTGGTTTACTGTGCACTTCTACTTGGCACTTGCAAGCCCTCAGCGAATCCAGAATTTGGATCCATTACTGCATGTGCTTCTTAAATACAAGTGCAGAAGCTGTTGGTAGAGCAAACATATATCACAGCGTAAATCTGTTAACACTGAAAGTGCCCTGGGTTCCTTTTTAAAAAAGAGTTGGGGAGGCCTCCGGGACTCCTCCCCTCGTGGTGCTTAACCCCTCAGCCTTGACCGCTAACTTGATTGTTCCACTAATTATCCACTGAATATTTGTCCCTAAGTGTGGGTTTTTCCCCTGTTGTTTGTTGCTTGTGTTTGCTTCAGGATCTTGTAAAATCCCTGAAATCAAAACTATTGTAGCAGCTACAAAAACAATCCACCAGCGTGACACAGAAGCTGAGTTATTCATCAGCACATCAGAAAAGAAATCAAAACTTTCAAAGCTTTTTTCCCTTATAAATTGTAAACTCTATTTTGTGAAGAATTTATAAAACAGGGAGGGGAAATTATTGTGTAATTTATTGAGTTTGTGACTTTTTAAAAAAATAAAGTCTGAATTAAAAGGAAACCTTTGAGTTTGAAGGAAATGGCTCTTTTAAAATTGTGTTGTGCTAAATGGGTGGGAAGGTAACAGCGTTCCATGCGCCTTGGTGTTTAGTCATGCCGGCCACATGACCACGGAAATGTCTTCGGACAGCGCTGGCTCTTCGGCTTTGGAACGGAGATGAGCACCGCAACCCTAGAGTCGGATTTGACTGGCTTTCGAGCAAGGGAACCTTTACCCTTACCTAAATGTCTAAATATAAATTTTATATCCATTTTCATGAAATGTTTCATATAACTTTCATATAGCCTTGTTTCATATAACTTTGATGGCTTCTACACAGGTTATCTGCCCCAAGTTCAATGCTTTTGAGAAGCACAGTTCTTTCTAGTTTCTCCACAGCATCGTGATTACATTCATATACCTCTGGGCTTTTCTCAGATCTTTCACAAACCTGCTTTGCTCCAAAGTCTGGGAAAGCTTGCAGCCGCTTGGATGGCGGGAAAATCCAGGTTTTCTGGCCCACATGGCAGCCATTTTCTCTGACCCTGTCCCCAAGAAGGGTTGCTAGTTCTGGGTAGAGAAACACCTGGGGATTAGTGGTGGTGAAACCTGGGGAGGCCAGGCTTTGGGAATGGGAGGGACTTTGGCAGGGTACAATGCCATAGAATCCACCCTCCAAAGCAGCCATTTTCACCCTGGGAACTGATCTCTGTTGTCTGGAGATCTGTTGTAATAGCAGGAGATATCCAGGTCTTACCTGGAAGTTGGCAATGCTATCCCCAAGGTAGCAATTTCCTCCCCTCACCGGGGAGAGGGGGGGAGGCTTTTATTTTTTTTAAATTGGCATTCAAATATCACTGATCAATGTACCATTGTACCAATAAGGCACAGCAGTTTCTCTGAATTCCCAGCTTTCATTTTATAAAAACTAAGTATCTAGCCTTTTCCCTTGCAGAGATATAAGGAAAATGAGAAAGAGCTAGAGGTTTTGTTGTTGTTTATGAAACCAGCACTGGGAATTCAGAGAGCCTGATACACCTATAGTTACAATGGTATATTGATACAATGATATTGTGGTGCCATTTTATTGTGATGACCCAGGGAAGGGAGGATAACAGCTTCTGGGGCATTGGGGCAGGGAAACTGCAGGGAAACTAGCCACACGGAAGCCCCATTACTGCTGTTCTTTATCTGCAGCCGAACCAGCAATGGGGAAACCACAAAATCTCATCCCTCTTGTGAAAGTCATCTTGAGCGCCTTGGTGACTCTGACTGGGCAGAAAGGTGGGATATAAATTTTGTAAATAAATACCTTTAGCATGTGTTCAGCCCAAATGTCAGTGCTTTCAGGCTTAAGTTTTGTAGCTTGTGCCTAAATATTCACCAAGTATTGAATGCAAGGATTTCAAGTTGTGCTCAATGATCACTGTGTCCTTTGTGAGGCAACCTTACCACTAGGCACAGTAAGATAAACAAGTTGGGGGGTTATTTGGGGTATTATTCTGTACTAATTTTTATGGAGGTTGAGGGGAACCTTTGAGCTCTTGGTTATTTAGGAAGCACTGGTTTATTGACGGGAGCCTGATGATCCTCCCCATGAATACTTGCTTGTCAGGTGATACTATCACTGTTCAGGTACCAGCAGGCATTCTGGCTGTATGCAAAGCTCAACTTGACTGCCTGATCAGGTTTATCCAGCTGAAGGAAGCCTCTGTGCTACTAGGTATTGTGTATAAAGTTAGATGTATGCATCTTGGGCTTTTAATGTGTGTTTGAATGAGCAATCAAATCATTATTAAAAACAAAGCATGAAAACATGACCATACCTGAATGCTCAAGAAGACTGAAGAGGGAAGGGGGCTAGGGAATGTGGTCCAGCATCTTGGACGTCATTAAGATTTACGGATAGTTTACTTACTATTAAAAATCTGTTTTAAACCATTTTACAAGAGAGAAACTTTACCATGTCAGTAAACTATACTAGCCTTTCCTTTTAATGCAGTGGCTTATGTCCTGACCTAAACTGGCTGGAGTATATGTAATGGCATTTGCTTGAAGTTATATTAACTCGTACCTCTCACTTGGCCTCTTTTGCTCCTGAGATCTAGATTATAAACTCTTTGTGGGGAAAAGCAAATGCATATTGAAGTACTGTTTAGATTAAGCTTGCTGAGTGTGCAGCCCCACTCAGGGGAGCCAATCTCACAGTTTAACCTGCTTTGGCATTGAGAGTATAAAATGGGGTAAGAACCTGCCCCTCATCCCTTTTCATAGAATCATAGAATGTTAGAGTTGGAAGGGACCTTGCAGGTCATCTAGTCCAACCCCCCGCACTTTGCATGAGCATAGCTGAAAGGTCGCCCTACATATCTACAACATTCCCAAAAGATGGTCGTCCAGCCTCCACTTGAAAACGTCTAGCGAAGGAGCATCCACCACCTCCAGAGGCAGACTGTTCCACTGCTCAACCACTCTTACAGTTAGGAAGTTTCTCCTGATACTTAGCCGGTAACGACTCCCTTGTAATTTCCACCCATTAGATCTTTTGAGGAAGGCTTGTATAGAAATGCAATGAAATATACCACTGGAAGGCTGTTAATTAACTGTTTAGCTTTCAATCCAGGTGATAGGGATAGGCAACTTCTGTCTTCTTGGGACCGCTTGCCCAATGAATACATTCCATTTAGTGTGCTTTTCTGTCTTTCACTGTTGAGGTACATGGCATGTGAAAAACAAGGAAGGGAAAGATGAAGATATGGGGGCTGCCTGGAGGGGGGGAAAGAGCAAGTAGTAGGGAGGGGATATAGGGGGAAGTGGGTTCCCCCTTGTGGGTTCCCCAGTGTGCAACTGGGCCTGGCCCAGACAGAGCTGTGCAACTGGAACCAGACCAATGACCAGCACTGTGCAACTTGGCCAGACCTTTCCCAGGTAGAGACTGCTG